CTTGCCCTGTACTGTAACTCTCATCGCTCTTCTGAATGTTAACATATTTCTAAAATCCTAAATCACAATAAACCTGTCACTGGCTAGTGTTAAATTTATATTATGTTGTAATTATATGTTAATGGTATTATGTTATGTTATAATGTATACCATAATGCAGTTGAATGACGTCGCTTCTGACATAATGTAGCCTGATGTTCAATAAATACCCTCTGAAATCTAAAATAACATATTACTGGATAATAAACACATATATTAGATTGTAAAGTGCATATTTTTAATTTATAAAAAATAATTTAATTTTACTATTTACCTAAGATGACAAAGACAATTCTTAACATGCTGTGTGAATTCACCAGAATATCTGGGTTTGTATTATGCCTTTATTATTATTATTATTATTATTATTATTATTATTATGCAGGAGACTGCCCAGAATTCCTCTATATGATGGTGTGATCTACACGATAATGATGTATTTTGTATGCTACTGGATGCTTGAATTTCCCTCGGGATAAATAAAGTATCTATCTATAATATCCATTTAACTCCTGTTAAAGTCCTGTTATATAGAAGGTCATATCTGATTAATACAAGATAAGGATTAAGGTTAAAATAATATACCAAAAAAAGGTTTCTCATCACAAATGGACTTAATGTCAAACAATTTTCTGGTCATTTAGTCATAACACTTTCTTTTTACAATCACGTGGCTGAAAATCAATCAGATGGATTAACAGTGGAAGCTTCTCCCTCCCAGAGACAATGAGGAGAAACATAAGCTGATCTCCAGAACTGAAGCCAAGCAGCATTACCTGCTGAAGGACTGTGACCTGGACATGAGAGAGCCTCCACTCAAGTTTGTACTGAAGAAAAACCCTCATAACCCGCGCTGGGGAGACATGAAGCTCTACCTCAAACTACAGGTACTGACTGGAGGACCGGGGCTATGTACAAGTGTGCGTGTGTGAGGATGGATGGTGGGTTAGTTCTGGGCAAAAATGCCACAATACATTTTCCCATAGTGACTAATATTAATGTTTACCAGGATTTTGTATTGCTTTTCAAAGTATGGTTCTAATTTTCTATGACTGAAGAATTAAGTACACCAACCATAACATTACGCCCACCTGGGCACCCTGGTGGTCGTAATGTTATGGCTGATCGGTTTATATTACTACTCTAAATGAGTACAGGTTGTCTTATATCACAAAACACTAAAAATTTTCATTAAATTTCAGAATTTGTCCCTGTAAAGTTAAAAGGTGTGTAGAAATATTTAATAGAATATTTAAAAAGCAAGGAAAGATGTTTTTGTTTTGGAACGTTATTTTTATTCTTAGTGATATAATATTATCCATTACATTTTTACATGACATAATAACACAAGGGTAAGTAAAACAGAGATAAATAAATGATAGTAAAATAATATAAAAAATACTTATAAATCAAAAAAGATAAAGTAACTAAACATCCACATATCAATAAGGGTTATCCCTACATTAATAAGGTAACAAGGCAGTTAAGGTTATCAGAAAGATGTTATTTAAGCCGCAAGCGAACAAAAGTAGTTCTGAAACAATCCGTCATTTAATCAATTAGTCAATCATCAGAAAATGTGCAATTGTATTAATGGATTAAAAAAAAATTTGGTTCCTCCCTCTGTAAGGATTTGCTGTAAATGTTTGCTGTTGCGACACAACAAGACAATTGGAGATTTATCATTGGGCTCTTGGAAAATGTCACCATTTTGTACTATTTTATATTTTATATATTTCAATGGTCCGATCTGCAACGTGTGTGTGTGTGTGTGTGTGTGCGCGTGCGCGTAGGTAGAGAAGAGATGTATGGAGGTGTGGGGTTCAGAGGAGGCTCTGGAGGAGGCCAGAGAGACGAGGGAAGAAAACCGAGAGGTGCAGAAACAAAAACGCTTCAACAAGAAGGTCAAAGGTTGGTGTCCTGTTTGAGACTAAATACCCATCATGTAGGATGAGCGTCATCAACCCTAAATGTGTCCGTGTGCTGTGTGTCAGAGCTGCGCAGGGCAGTGAGGAGCAGTATGTGGACCAAAGACACCAGCGTTCACCAACATCAGTACGGACCAGAGGAGGTGGTGGATCCAGAGGAGGACCTCTACAAGAAAACCTGCACCACCTGTGGACATGAGCTCACTTACGAGAAGATGTAGACACACACACACTGTTACAGGTTCAGCCTACAAGGAGAACATGTTTGGTGCTTCTGCGGGGAACAATGCCTCTCACAAACCCTCTCTCCCTCCAGTTGTATTCCGTTTTTCTTCTGGTATTTATTTTTCTATCACATTAATAAAACACTCCATCCTAATCACATAGAAGGGGCCAAAATCACTCTGCGGCTATTGACAGCGGTTAAACAGCTGCTGACCTCTGCTTAACTCTCTTACTGTATATTTTTAGCAATAACTGCAGATTGCCCTTCCAGTGAACTGCCTATTGCTACACTTCCTGTTTCTTTTGTAGCATATAGATTCCCCCTCGCAGTGGGAAAATCAAGGAAGGCACAATACTGAAACTGAATTGTGGGTCCCACTTTAGGACTCAAATAGATACAAGCATTAAGAATAAAACTCCAGTGCCTTTTATTAAAAACTCAATTTTGGGATGGGTAAGGTGTTATGGTTTAAGTTGTTATTGGGGACCTCCTCCTCCCTCTCACGTTCACTCAAAATCAATTTTCAAATTATAATCTATCATTGGACAAAGTACTGATGCATGGACTGGTGACCTCTAAATTTACTGGTTAATGGTTCAGACTGAACTAATGTTTGGTATTAGCTGTAAAGAAACAAGCAGTCATTGTCCAGATATTGTGATGATAAAGGACTGGTGCTGTGGGTTTGCTCAGGAGTTATTTTGATCACTTTTTAAAAGACTAATGAGATTAAAAGTGTGTAAATTGTTTGTGTCTTTGTAAAATGAATTGTTAAAAATTTCTTACAAAAAAAAAAAAAAAGTGTTTGGATTCAGCTTCATGTTACTTCTGTTCATTTTAAGAAATATTTATATTAGTGAATAGACAAAATGATTGGCTGGGGCTGGTTGATAACATGGTGCTAGCTCCATGTAGGGAAGAATTTGAATTATGCTTTGTAGTAAATAGTGGATTTCAAAATCAGAAATGTGCAGACATCCAGCTGGAGGTGGGGGTTTATTAAGCAGTGTGTTTAAAAAGGAAATACAACTTTAAACTGAGCACATTTTATTTTATTCAAGAGCATTCATAAGGCAACCACAGAGTATATAAAAGCTTTGTTGCAACTGACAGCAACAAGCGTTTTATACTAGACAGTTTAGTTTAAGATGCAATATACTGTACCATTTCTTTAACATTAAATCAAAACCCATACTGTACATTAGTAAAGTTTGAGTTTAAAATTCAAAGGTTCTCTGAACATTAGAGCTCTTAAACACAAATGCATCCTCTGTAGTGTCAACTTTGACTCCTTCAATCTCACCCTAGAAGGGCAAGAAAAAAAAAAAAAAAAAGTTAAATCAAGAAACAAAGACATTACATTGAGTGCCACAAGGGCTCCCTACCCTCTTCAGATATATAATAAGTGCAATGTCTTAGATGATTATTTTTACAAAACTCTTAAATCTGCTAATGCAACAAGTTACAAAACTTAAAATCCTTTTTTAAAATTTTAAATGCAGATAGTTTGCCATGCAGCTACTTACATCACCAAAGTACTTCTCTATGAGGTTATGCGCAGCCTGGTACACCATATCGTTGTCATGGTTCTGCAGCATTTCAATGCGGTCCAGTCCTCCCAGCTCTTCAACCAACAGGCTAAGTTTCTCTGTCTCACCGAGCTTCTCTGCTGCCTGAAAAGTCACATGCAGTAAATGACAATCTGCATTTTAAGTTCTGGGTCACTAATGAGTTTTAGACCAATTAGATGTAAAATACATATCATTTTTCCCCTCACCATGAAGATATTGTTGATTGCATCCAATATGACCAGAATGACTTTAGCATCTTTGACCTGCAGCAGGTTGATGATTGCCTCCAGGGCTCCACTCTGCACCAGGTGGACTACCTGCTCCACAGTACCCCCACTGGTAAAGTTTGTCACTGCCCACACTGCCTCCCTTTGAGTCTTGAAGTCTCCCTGAGAAAGATTGAGCATATTGTTCAGGCGCTTCACTTAACATAGATTCCAGATAACTACTTTGAAACACATTCAACCAATTTGAAGGCTGCCGAGGGGCATTACATTGAAGTGCATGTTGTGTTTACAAAGTATCACATGTGCTGCCTGCGTCACAATACCACAAAATTAAAGACAGATGTTTTGTAAAAATGGCCTATACAGATAAAATGCTCATTCACAGTCATCTACTCACATTTCTGAGCTGCTCTACCAGAGGGGGGAGCAGGCCGCAGGTGATGAGCTGTTGGATTTGCTTACAGGGTCCTGCAGCAATGTTTGACAACGCCCACGCTGCCTCCTTTTGCACGCTGGCTTTCTGGTGCCTCATCAGTTGTGGTAGGACGTTTAGAACTCCGGCATCAACCGCCGTCTGGGTCTGCAGGTCTGAACCACTCACTATGTTCCCGATGGAGCGGAGAGCCGGGGTCTGTGGGTCAGACAGGTAATTAGGTCATAGCGCGTTTGGGCACGTTGGAGGGCTGAATGAGCCAAAAACACTACCATGACACTGAGCTCCTCGTGGCTCATGAGCTCCACCAGCCGAGGGATGATGCCAGTTTTCACGACAACGTCAATACGGTCATTGTCACCATCTGAGAGGTAGGAGATTGCCCAGCATGCATCAGATAAGATGTCCTTATCACTGAGATGAAGCAACTGGATCAGTGAGGGAAGCACCTGAAGACAACAGTTACAGCACATTAGTCCTCTTGCTTTCCACTCTGATACTACTGCAAGACTTTATTACTTACCTGCAGGACTGCAGACAATGGTGGACACGGGTTCTTATTGCGACACAAGTTGGACAGCGTCCATGTTAGGTTACGCAGGTAGCCAACCTAGAGTGATAAACAGCAGTAACATTCAAGACTTCTGGCCCAAAGCTCAGGTCTTTAGTACCACTACATTATGTGAATAAAGTTGTATAAAGCCTTTTGTGACTCAAGATGGAACAGAAATCTGATCCACTTCACATGCTGTAATGAAACGCTTTCACATGTTCAAATCAAGAATGTAGTATAGAGTTTGCGGTGTAAAAATGTAGATTGTAATATACCACCATCCATTGCGCCTGGGTTTAACATCATTAAATATTTAGCTGATGTAAGGCATCCATACATTTGGACTTTCAGGCACTCATATGTAAATGCAATTTGGACAGCCTTTAGAAAATCTTCTCTCCAGTTACAATATTTGGATGTTGACATGACCATTTAAGTCAGAAACTTGTTACTTGAATTTTAAAAAGAGAACACTTCATTCAACATACTACATCTATAGCCTGCTCATATAGCCACTACTAGTGGCTCAAAGCTACATTAGTCACTAATAACTCTTGGTTGCATTGTGGGGAGGAAAAGAGTGCATCGCTTCCCTTTTTCATAAACCATCCATCATAGATAAGTCATCTTTAACTCTACCAAGTAGCCCAAGTTTGTATTTGAGAGGTCCGATGTGGTCCATGTAGAGAACGTACACATCTCAAAACTGTTCAAGTTGAATTAAACTTAATGGTTTCTAATTTTGTGGTGGTGTGGTTTGATTTAAAGCAATTTGCCAGCAACCCAACAAAGTCACTATACTCAAGTGAAATGGAAGCATTACAGCTCTTGGGTGTGTAGTTTGAGCTGGTCTTGTAAAGTTTGGACTTACTGGTGTGTCTGGGCAGATGCGGGCCAGTAAGGCTGGGATAACATTGCACTCGATCAGGACGTCCCGATAAGCTGCACCGTCACCTGTCAAGTGGTTACATTGTGATTTTAGTACAACAAAATACAGTAAAAGATTCAAGTTCTATGTGTGCCACTACTGCCTTTATTGATAGATTTATATACATTATTCAGTCAAAATAGACCACCACGTCAACATTTGTAAGACATTAGCTCGAAGGAAACCTTTATTGCAGTCAATGGTCCATAAAGGTGAGCCAACAGTGTCCTTTTGAAAAACATTACCATTGTATCAGACATCCTGATTTATCAGTTGTATTAACCTAGAGTTGACTGCAATATGAAAATATAAATGTTACACCTGCAATGTTTCCAAGAGCCCAAACAGCCTGTTCACTGATGTGCAACATCGGTGAAGCCAACAAGGAGATGAAAGCTGGTACAGCCCCATGTTCCACCACCTGAGACAGAAATACACGGGAACCATCAAGCCACCAAGAAAACCTCAAAGCCTTCAAGACTGAAGTAATTTATGCATTTAAAATCTACTTTATGTAGAGTTAAGATGTTTGAGAAACAAGTCATCTAAACAAGGACCATGACAACTTGCAGGTAAACAGCATCAGTCAAGTTAAACATTGGCCTGCCATGCCTGTGCTTCAAGAGTGCAGTATTGTGTTCACACCTGTTGGGTATGCCAAGATGTTCCAGAGGCGATGTTGGTGAGAGCCCAAGCTGCTTCAAACTGCAGAGTCGGCTCATCATCCATACACAGGAAGATCACAAAGCGGGACAGCAGTCCTGCATCTATGATCTCCTTCAGAGGAGGGTTACGCTCCTGAGAGAGCAACTTCCTGAGAGAAGGGTGGAGGAAATTACTGAATAATGCACATTTCACTCTACTTCCTACCTATGAGGTTCAGCAATCGAACATTGGAGGGATATTCAAGTTTTCAAATTTCTTCTCAATATCAGAAAATGGTTAACATGCCCATTGCAGTTTTCAGAAGCTACAGGTGATTTCCTCAATTTGGTTGCTTATTCCCCCAACAGAGTCCAAAAAACTAAACATTTAATTATGACATTAGACAAAACATTTGATTAAGATCAAATCAGTTTTGCATTTTTCATTTTACACATCTTGCACATTGGACTAATCAATGACTTAAGACTAAACAGAACCAAAGCAATTGCATTTCTATCATATATAGAAAAAATTAATAGTGTTGGATTCAAGTGGCCCCATGGCAGATACGAGTGCAAGAAAATATGATGCAATGCAATAATGACTGTCAACATGCTAGAAAATGACCATTTCAAAAATTCATCAGGACCTTCCGATGCTGGTACCCCACATACATACATACAGCTGGTACCCTTCTTCCCACCCCTGCCCCCCCTCAGACAACCGGGGTCCTCCTCTGTGCAGTTATCCTCACCTGGCTGCCTGACAGCCTCGTGTTTGGGTCTCCCTGCTGTCGGAGTTCACGTCTTTAATGATATCCTCAATGGTTAAAGGAGTCACCTGAAAACACAGTTAACCTGTTAAGAGTCTCCACTGCTGCAGTCTGGGTAAAATCATTAAAAGATTTCTGTGCACTGACCACGTCGCAGGAGTCCGGGGAGAGGGCGTCCTCGTCCGGGAGAGACGACAGCGTTAAATTCCTCCTCTTCAGGAAACTTTCATTCTTGTGAGCCTTGCGCAACTCCACGCACTCAGAGATCCTTTTCTCTCGAAGTTTCTGTAAGAGATCAACGCAGTGTCGATACATGTATGAATACGCATGGCCTCGGAATAAAGGAACATCCACTTACTGCTGGATCTTTCCCCTTGTTTTTGAATTTGGAGATGCGCTCGTCAACAACGTTCTTGGTGGGCATGGTGGCAGACACGTCCTCTCTGCTGGACTCACAACAGCAACCTAATGACGACCTTCCCCAGGGAGGTTATAAGGGGGAGAGCCGCCTCAGGTGAATCTAATTAGCTGTGATTGATGTAAGGCACCTATTGGTTTATCCACTGGCAGCTGTGCGCGTTTCCATCCGATAATCAAACATCATCTTTCTGTCCAGCGACTGTTTAGTCC